CCTGCAGCGCGTCGAAGTGGGCCCCGGGCAGCACGGCCAGGGGCTCGGCCAGGGGGCCCCAGCCGCCGGCGAGGGCGGCCTCGAGCAGGCGTATGCTCAGGGGGGCGTAGCCCTGCGGGTGGGGGAAACGGAGTTGGTCGTTTTGGGTGGGCGCAGGCGGCGGAGTTGTATGGATGCCTTGTATGTGCCGCGGCAGGATTGTGGATTGCAAGTGTTTGGTTCGGCGTTGCCTCGTTGTGCGGTGCAGGCACGAGCAGCAGCAAGGCGTGGCAGCGGGGCGGCCGTCAACACCTGCTGGCAAGGCTGCGAGGTTCGGGCGGCCCAGCCCCGCATGCATGCAGGCCAAGACGGGACGCTGACCAACTTAGCAACCTGCTATGCATTCCCAGGGGCTTGCAGGCCCTGGGATCAACAGGTGCCTGTCCTGATGCTGTCGGGGCTGGCGATGGTGCGGGTGACGGGTGGCGGATGGCGGGTGACAGGTGTACCGTGCGTTTTAGGAATAACCACCTTGTACAGGTGGCTGATGTCCGTCGGGCGCTCCATCTGGTCGCCATCGGGCACCACCAGCCGCAGCGCGCGCCGCAATGCGCCAAAGCCGCCCGTGCGGCCGGTCAGGCCCCCGGCCAGCGCGCCGCCGCCCTGCTGCAGCCGCAGCAGGCCTGCAGGAGGGGCCAAGAGCAGGAGGGTGGTCTTGGGAGGTGGGCCTGCGCCCCGCGGCATGAGCGCGCTCGATGCGCGGGACAAGGGACAAGATCAGGTGACTTTTGCAAGGCAGCGCCCTGCACCCTTTGTTGCAAAGCGCACACGCAAGCACAAAGCAAGGTGAAAACACTCAATTTGAAGTCAGGACGAGGCTGCGTCAGCGGCCCGCCCTGCAAAGCGCCAGCTCCCCAGGCATAGCGATGCGCAGGCATGCACACGCGAGCCAGCTGGCGGGTGGCCGGCCGGGCGATGCCGCGCTCACGCATACACCGTTGCGCACCCGCCACCCGTGCACCATGCAAGTGCCAGCGAGCAAGCAGTGCCTGGGGCCTCGCAGACTCCGACCAGGATAAGAACCAGCAGCCACCCACCACAGGCCCCTCCCACCCACCCGCTTTCTCCAGGGAGTGCAGCGTGAGCAGGTGCTGGTGGCCGTAGGCCGCCACAAACTCCTGCCGCAGCGGGTCCCAGTGCTTCTTGGGCATGCCGCCCTGGGTTATGCTGAGCAGCACAAGCAGCCGCAGCACCGACGGCATGTCCGCGCCGCTCCACATCAGCTCCTACAAGACACGGCCGGGTCGACGCAGTGTATGTTTGATTGGGTGGGGGGAGTGGGAGGTTGGGAGGGGGCGCAAGGTGCGGGCTGCTTGGCGGCCGAAGGCTGCATTGCTTGGAGTCTTGGGGAAAATGCAGGTTGGCGCCTAAGAATCACAAGGCATGGGTGCACCTGGCAGAAATCGGCTCACGACACCAAGCTAGGGTCCACTTTGTGCATACTTGCCTCTGCACCCCTCTGCCCAATGCCTAATGACACCTCCGCCACACGATATTTGAAAAGGCTGGAGGTCAGATGCGAAGCAGCTGTGCGGCCGCCCGATCACAAGACCCTCGACCCGTTTGCACGCCGTGTGTATTGCACCTGCCCACCCAACAAGTACGGCGCTGGCGCCCTGCATCCCCCACTCCGCCCTGCACTTGTTGAATAACATGCTCCACAAAACCCCCACACGCACTCACACACTGATGAGTCCATCCCCGCCCACCTGTATGTATGCCACTGCCTCCTCCACCTCCACCCCCTCCACCAGGTCAAGCTCAGCCTTGAGGCGCCGGTGGAAGGACGGCTGCTTCACCACCTTTGAGAAGTGGGTTGGCGCGCGCGCGTGTGTGTGCGTGTGTGTGTGCGCGTGTGTGTGGAGGCCGGGGGTGTTGCAAAGGCAGGGTTCTCACACAACATTGGCCAAGTTGACGTGAGTCGGGGCAAGAGGCGAGACGCACGGCACTCTCTAGTGGCGCACTTGCCCCAACCCCCTCTGTGGACTGCAGATCAAAGAAACAGAGAGCCACTCGCTCCACGACACGCTAACATAGACACATGGGTGTACACACATGCACAAACACACACACACACATTCACTCCTGCATTCACACCCTGTTTCCGTACTCACATCCACATGCACAACCAACTTCACTCCCAAAACTTCACCCAGCCACCCATGCACTCATCCACGCTGCTGACACACACGCGCACGCCCTCACACATCCACACACACCATCCTTCCTCTGCCCCACCTCCGCCACGGGCACCAGCAGGTCGCTCAGCCTGTCCAGCAGCAGCAGCTTGGGCAGGCCCTTCACAAAAGACTTGAGCTCCGTGAGGTCCTTGCTGCCCAGCTCACCATAGTCTCGCCGCGCCTCGCGCGCGTACTGCGTGAGCCTGGCGCATGTTGGGATGATACCGACGTGTCGCAGCGATGATGCAGACACGTGTGGTTTTTGGGCAGAGGTGGCGCGGGGCAAGGGGCTCGGTGTGTGGCAACACACGCGGTTTGTGTGCCAAGCGGGGGGTGGGTAGGGCGCGCGTCTCTACGCGCGTCTCTGTGTGATGGGATTGTTGAAGTTGAGGAGTCTACAGTATGCGATGTTGGAGCGGTTGGTGCATTGGCCAGTCCCCATGCACAGATGCAACACATAGACACAGTCGCCGCAAGTGTATACATTTGACCACACGTGCGCACACCTCTGGCTGGCGGTGTAGTAGGGCAGGTCTCTGAACTCTGCGTAGTAAGGGTCGCTGCTGTTGACCAGCGTTGACCCGCCCCCGCCGCGCGCCTTGGCTCCCCCGCTGCTGCCTGCCTCGCCGGCCGCAGCGCCTGCGTGCGGCAACGTTTGCGCTGATGAGGCCCCCAGGGCGGGGCAGCATCGCCGCTGATCACTGGGCGGAGGGGCGGCGAGACAACACTCCAGCCTAATTTGTGTCCCGCGAGCCCCCCTGCCTGACGCATCCCCACAACCACCGCAGGTCGCGGGTATTGGGGTGTTTGCAGGTACAAACAAGTGCTCTCGCAAGCCGAGTGGCCGATAGACCACCCTGCCCAGCCCATGGAGCAGTAACGACAGAGGGAGGCGGCCTCTCACACCCCGGCGCACCCGCCAGCGGCACCGACCCGTGCCTGATGCCCGTAACCTCGTCGATGAGCCCCTCAAAAGTTATCTGAGTCATCATCGGGGTCACGAGGTCCACCTCGCGATCAATCAGGAACAGCCGACCGATGCGGCCGGGGCCACCGGCGCCGGCGCCGGCGGCGCCCGGCGCGGGCGGGGGGCGCTCCTTGCGCATTTTGATGCAGATGTCCCTGACTGCCGCGGCTGCGGGGCCTTTGCCCTGAGCGGACGGGGGCGCAGGCCATGCTTCGTGACAAAGAGTCAAGGGGGAAGTTACAGTTGAACATGCGATGGCAACGGCCCGGGGCGGCACCGACGCCCTTATTGTGTGATCAAGACCAGGTCAGCCTTGGGAGGTCAGACCCAGCACAGCCGTCGCCCTGCCGGAGACCCGGCGTCTCGCAGCGCTCGCCTGCCGCATACGTGCAATCCCGCCACACACAAGCGACGCTACTCCGTTAGGTGGCGCCCACCTGTATCCGCGGTATCAGCCCAAACTCATGCTGCAGGTGCATGATGGCAGCTGCTGCGTAGTAGAGGCTGCTGGCGTCCCCGTCCAGGGTGCAGTCCGCAAAGGCCCTGCAAAACAAGGTGAGGGCAGACGACAAGATGAGATGAAACAGCTGGATTGATTCTACCAGACTGAGAGAGATTGAGGAGCGGATGGGATCAAAAGGGATGCGGCGCGGCTTGGTTTGCATGTAGTCAGCTGTGCCGACCCTCGCCGCCGCGACACTTGCTTGTGCCAGCCTCCGCAGGCACAGGGCGTCATACATCGAGCCTGCTGCGCAAATCCAGTTGGGGGGCTGGGGTGTGTCACCCGCACCGGCCGCACCTGTCCAGCTCGAGTGACAGCACGTCGTCATCCAGGGGCACCAGGTCCATCGGGAACTCACCCTGGGGTTTCGTGGTGGGTTAGGGTTTGGGATGGGGTTGGCTGAGGAGAGGCGCAGCGGGAGGAGGTGGGGTTGCTAGCAGGTGGCGGGTGGCTGTGGCGACGGGGTCGCGGGGGGCAGGTTCATAAGAAACGTGCCTAGATGCCGTCGGTATTTGCGAAGGGCCCAAAAAGCTGCACATCCAACAGACGGAGTGGGTGGAGCCCTGGGACATGGTGTCATTGTTAGGGACAAGGTCAGGTTGACATCAGACCCAATGAACAGTGATGTGCGAATGCAAACCTCGTCACCCAATCATGCTCGCCTGCTGCAGGTCGCCTGTGACCCCCTCATCCTCCAGCAGCTTCTCGACAGCTACCGACCGCCTGGGCACCCAGAACACGCTGAACTCGTGCTCCTGCGCCGACCTGCGGGAGGCCATCGTGGGTGCGCGCCGCAATTCAATTGCACTTGCACTCATCTAATCCAGCTAGGACCCTGCTCATAACAAGCGGCTGCTCAACCAGCCCTGCCTTATTGTACCGCGTGCTGCGCCAGCACAGTCGCTGTGCGCGCACAACCTAACGCCATTGCAGCGCAGCGCATCGCACTCCGCCGGACGCCTTCCCTTGCCCTGGCAGGCTGCCGCGTGCCATGCCTCATCACACGCAACACCACACGCATACACGCACATTCAGTCACACGCACACACAGACACACAAATCCCATACCGCACACAAACACACCTTGGCGTGTTCTTTATCTGCCATGCGATGAGCTGCGCGTTGTCCAGGGTGGCCCGGGCTATGTACACCAGCGGCCGCAGCCCCACCAGCCGCGGCTCCGCCTGGTTGTATGCCGCGTCGTCCAGCCGCCTGCGCTCCAGGTACAGCAGCCTGCACACGCGCGGGCCACATGTTCGTCGCGGCGTGGGGTCTCATGGTGTAAGTCTGGCAACGAGGTGGGCCGGGCTGTTGGAACGGCATGCTGCGCGGGAGGCACCGTTGCTTCTGCTAATAGCACGCGACGCCGGGCCGGCCCGCATCAATTCACTGCTCAGCGGCCACGATAAAAGGAGGTCGGCCGCCGCCCCGTTGAAATGCAGCGGCCGCCGCCGATAGCGCGCCCAGGTTTGGGGCGGGGGCCGCACTTTGCAACGCCGTGCTCTGTCAGGAGGGCGCTCAGCTGCGCGTCCAGCAGTGTCAGGGGGCCGCTCAGGGCGGGGTCCAGCACGAGCGCCTTCTTGCCGCGTTTCTGCGCGGCGCGAGGTGGGGCCGCAGGGCTCAGGGTCGGGACGGCCGCGCGCTGCATGCACCGACGGCAACTTTCGCGTTGCTCGTTGCGGGCTCATTGCTTACGAGCCCGCACACTACGCCGCTGGAGCTGGCTGGCCGGCCGAGACCACGGCCCAGGCTGGGCGGGCGCGCTGCGCTGATGTGCTCACCGAGTCAATCAGGTCAATAAGCTTGTTGCGCGCTGCATCCCTAGGGATGCGCAGTTGCGAGGGGCACGGAGTTGGCACGCACCTCGCAACGATGCGCTCGCCCGCAATCCGACAAGCGCCCATCCGGGGGGCGACATGTGCGCAGGACCCACCTGAAGCCGCGTAGGGGGACAGGACCCGTATCTAAAGGTGGAAGTTGTGATTTTTGCTTTGGACGGGCCATGCTGCTGCGATCCCTGAACCTTGAAGCCTCTGAAAAGCCACGGATCGCCGGCGCACAATATATCTAAAGAATGTGTGGTAGTAATAACATCATGGCCTTCATGAAATCCCGGGGTACAGTTGCGCACTCAGATCACATTGATCTGCAACGCTTCAGTGAAATGTTTTCTTGCAGCGCATGGCTCATGTTGCGTCGCTGAGGTCAATACGACCAGTTTATGGTCCGAAATCAGCTGTAGTGTGCTTGAATATTGATTTGTTCACACACCCAACTTGCCTCAGGATACGCATCATGCTGCATTCCTACCGCTGCCTTCCATGCCATCTAACGTCTTGCCGTGCTGCAACATTACAAACCGCCAACGCCACACAAAGAAGTGTCCAAAACGTGCGGTAAGAGATAGCTGCCACTCGCAGCGCCTCGCTCCCACGCACGACCACACTGCGCCGCGCTGCGCCGCACGCCGGTCCCCAGGCCGCCAGTGGCTCCTGATCCTTGCCGATCCTCCAGAAGACTGAGCATTTACAGCTGCAAATGACGGAGGGGAGAGGCATGCAAGAGACTGTCAAGCCAGACGGCAGACCCCTGCAATCATCCGCTCAGGCCTACTTGATACCCGAGCCCTAGCCTCCCATCGCCCACGGCAGCCACATACAGCCAACATCCCGCGGCACACCCTGCAAAACGCCACCCTGAAAGCATCAGGCGCTCAAGGGCCCAGGTTCCCGCGTCGTCGCCCACCAGGCCCCGCCCCCTCACCTTGTCCTCGTACTCGCCCAGCGGCTGCACCTCGGGCTTGATGCCCTTGCGCTTGCGGATGTCGGCCACCAGGGTGTGGGCCTGGGAGCCGGCCTGCATGGGGTCGGCACCCATGACCTCCCAGTGGTCAAACACACACTGCAGGGGGTAGGGTGGGGG